AACATTAATTATGTAACATTTTACTCAATTAATAAAGATCACGAGAAATGCCTCACTTAACACTTTAAAAAAAATAAAGCAATGATGTTTACCTACTTAAAAAAAAAAACTAGATATCTATTTAATTTTTATTATTTGATTATTAATTAAGAATATAAAAATATTTTTAAAAGAATATTTTTTAAATTTTATATTTAAAAACTTTTGATCTTTAAAAAAGATTAGTATCTTATTTGATAATTTTTCTTTCAGTTAATTCTTTAAAAATTTATAGTTTTATTTAATTATTTTTAAAATAATTAACAGTAAAATTAGCTTATTATTGAATTGAAAAAAATCATTTTTTAATTTAAAAGAAATAAAACCAGTTCAAAAAAAAAATAAATAGTAAATTACTTTTTTTATCAAAAAATATATTATACAGTATATACAATATGTTAAAAAAAAAGCCGAAAAAATTTTTATATCAAATATTTAATTTAAATTAAAAAATAAAAATAATTACAAAATATATTTTTATGATATATATTTAAAAAAAATAATAATTTTTATATTAATTTTTCAATAAAAATATTTTTTATTTTTAATTTAAATATTTTTATAAAGTTATAAAACTAAAAAGAAAAAGTTTTAAAAAAAACAATTAAAAAATTTATTATTATTAATTTTATTAATACAATTATAAAAAAATTTTTATATAAATATATTTTAAGTTTTGAAAAATTAAAAATTAATTTTTAGAAAATTTAAATAATATTTTTTTATGATAAAACAAATAAATAAAAATTTATTAATATTTAAAATTATTATTTTTTTTTTCTATAGTCAAACAAGTATATACTGTTTATTAAATCTATACAGAAAACAAACAATGTATAATACATAAACTATTCTACTGCCTTGAATATCTGTCTTTAACTAATGTCTCTAGGTGTAACTTTGAAGATGAAAAATATTGTTTCCTTTATGATTTACTTGCTTATAGAGTTTAATCTCAAAGATTATTGCCTTACTATTTAAAATTCTTATTTTTTGACTGTATTATATATATATATATATATATATATTCCAATAAGTAAACATTATTTTTTTATTAATAGTATTATACTGAAGAGTTATATATATGGTGAAAGAAACAACATTTCTTGTGTACAAAAATGTAACAAGTTAAATACTAGCTTGCCTATATATCTATACTTAACTAATATCGAAAATAAAATTTAAAACAATATTATATATACTAAATATAGCTGAATAGCAGCTATGTCTACTTACTTAAAATTTTTTGATTGGACATAAGATGAGTAATAAATAAAAAAAAATGAAAAAGAAAAAAAACAAAAAAGAAATTTTATATTTGTTGCTATACAAGTGGAAAGTGTAATAAAACTAATTATATGATTAAGGATGTCTATTCAGCACACCACTCTGATAGTTCCATTCTGTTTAAGTATATTGAAGAATATGCTTTTTTGATTGGCCAGGCTACTGTCCAAAATATATAGTAGTGATGATGACATGTCTTCTTGATAGTTGATAATATATGGTGATAATGGTTAATTAGTTGAATAGTTGTTTGAATATAAGATAATAAAACTAATTATATAATTAAGGATGCTTATTTGGCATATCACTTTAATAGTTCCAATCTGTTTGAGTATATTGAAAAATATACTTTTGTGATTAGTCAGGCTACTGTTCAAAATATATAGTTGTGATAATAATGTATATTCTTGGTGATTAATAATGTGTGGTAATTGTGATTGATTGGTTGAATAATTGATTAAATATGATAGGTTTAGATATGATAGTTGCTGATTTGTAGAATTAGAGCTGTGTTGTTGTTTTTTGATTGATAATTAATGGAATATGTTTGTTGTTTTGGTGTTTATTAATAGAATAAGGTCATATGGTTAAATGGATTTCTATTTTTGATGTTGTTTACATTGATCTTTAGTTGATATGATAGACGTGTTTGAATATTTGGTAATATATAATTGATTGAAAGTAGGATGTTGATTAGTTGCCAGGGGCAAACTGATTGCAGTTTTTTGAAAAAAAATTTTTTGAACAAGAATTTTTGATTTTTTTGTGGTGCAGTAAAATATATTAAGTAATGGTAGAAGTTATTTTTTATATATACCAATGGTTTCTCAGGCCAGTGATATAAACAAAGTTGATATGAAAGTTTGTATTTTGAAATAAAATAAAGTTCTTCAAGTCAGGAATGTGAATATTTAAAAGTGATTATATATTAATAAGAGGTATTTTAATAAGAAATATAAATGAAAAAAATCCCAAGGAAAACTTGTAAAGAAGCAATTGCCACAAGCCTTTTCTCATGCAATTCAAGAGAAAAACAAGTTCTCCAAATTTGCTTATTTCTGACCAGAGATTCTATCTTGATATGCCAATATACTTCTTTAGTTCCTTGAAGTTTTTGATATTGAAAGTTAAAGAGGTGTAAAGAACTTGTATGTATTGAAAAGCGAAAGAAATATTTTCTCTAATTTTGAAAAATTATAATAAAAGAAAAATTTTTAAAAAAAATGATGTGTATGGAAAAGAGTTTTTTTTTTTGTTTATATATATATATATATATCTATTTTATTAAAACTCTACCATCTGTCAGCACATCCTCGCAATTTTATTGGTTTGTACACTCCTGTGGTTTGATTACCTATTTTTTACTTGGAACGGCTTATGTGATGTCACGTGTTTTGTTCGACCTCATTTATATTACCCCCTTCGTGTACTTATTATGTAAACTAGCTTATCGGATTTGAACATTCTTCGCAACGGGTTGATAGAATTTATTGGTCAAACTAATTTCGGCGATTTAACGGTAAAAAAAGGCCAAAATCTGGACACCTTAATGTAAACGATGTGAATAATTAAAAATAATATATATACCATAATAAAATAACATGTCTATTACGTATTATATTCTAGCAGTTCTAAACTGCTCTGCTTATTATAATTACGCTTATACACGTATCTTTCCATACAGTCTACCAGTATTAACTAATTCGATTTTAGATAATGCACATGTCGTGCCCTAAATGCTCATTATGTAAAAATTCCGTCCGAGCTACTACTAGATCATATTTTTGATCGCGAGGCCGCCCTAAACTAAAATCGACTTATTGATACCAAATAATTATTGTCGATTTAATAATTTCAATTAGTACTGGATCATTTTTTTGATAAACCGGAATCGAACTCTAAATAAAATTGAAACATATATTGTTAATTTGATTTAGTACTAATAAATTTAAATATGCGTTAATTATGACTATTTATCTTACCAATCAATAAAGGTGTTTAACCAAGAATATTTATCGTACTGACCAAAGTCCCGCATAAAACTAAAATTTTCAGTATCCCTATCAATAAGTCATTTATTCATGTAACTATCCTTCTATTATAATCAAATTATCCTTATACCCTTTTCACATACTAATCACATCTTCTACTCTATCATTATGCATTATACCCACCAGAGTCCTACGAATGAAGAACATGGAACGACCGATGCAGCTCACAAGCGTCAAAGACGAATGAGACAAAATGCTAACGCTCAACGACGCCATCGTGCAGGAGAAACTGAAGAACAACATAATAGTAGATGTAAAAGAGATGCTACTGCTCATCGCCAACGTCGACTTAAACCTCGATTTCTTAATTTAGCCTGCAATTTCTCTGAAAATACGAATAATGATAACCATCCTATTCCCCATAAGATTCACTCTAACAATTATTCTCATTGTAGTTACTGTAATGCGCTCAAGTTTCCTAATGAGAGCCCAGGAATGTGTTGCAGAAATGGTAAGGTAGTTTTAGCAGAACGATACATCCCTCCATTACTTCAACGGCTCTTCTATGGACAGGATGACATTTCGAAACATTTTCATGATAATATTCGCATTTATAATTCTGCATTTGCGTTTGCTTCCGTTGGCGTACGTTTTGATCATGAATTGGCTAATGCTAGGGCTGGAGTGTACACATTTCGTGTTCAAGGTTCTTTCTATCACCATATCGGATCATTGCTTCCAAACCTTAACTCAGAACCCCGCTACCTCCAGATGTACATTTGGGACACTAAACACGAATTACACCATCGAATGAATGCCATTCTGAATTTCCAGCTTAACCATGCTATTGTTCATGAATTGAAAACCATGCTTAACGAGTTAAATCCTTATGTTTCTCATCTTCGTTATATCTCAGAGCTGCCTAAGAAAAATATTGCTAATCTACGACTCATGATCCACACTAACGTTCATGGATTAGATCAAAGAACTCATAATGCTCCGACTGCTCCACAAGTTGCTGCGATCTGGATTAATGAAGATACAGTCTCTGAAATCCCTCAGAGGCGGGATATTATTCTACACACGAAAATGGATAAATTAGTTCGAATCTCAGAGTTCACCGGATATTACGATCCTTTAGCATACCCTCTCCTTTTTCCTTACGGTAAGCAAAGATGGACTTTTCGCCAAATCCCTTATAAAGAACATCCTTTCCAACCAATGTCAAATAACGATTGTGATGTTCCCATAGATATTGATGCTGAAGAGTATCAACAAAGCGATGCTGGAGATAATGTTAATCCACAAAATAGAATGTTTATCAGTGCAATGGAGTATTATGCTTACCAAATACAGATTCGTCCTAATAATATCAATTTAATTTTGCGAGCTGGACGACTCTTTCAGCAGTACGTAGTAGACATGTATGTTAAGATTGAATCAAATCGATTAAATTTCCATAGACAAAATCAAAAGAAAATTCGAAGTGATTTATATCAGGACATTCAAGATGCCATTCTCCATGGAGATAGTAACCCTAAAGACATTGATTATAGGATAGTACTCCCAGCCACATTCATTGGAAGCCCTTGAGATATGATTCAAAGATATCAAGACGCAATGGCTCTACTTCGCACTTTTGAAAGGCCAGATCTATTTATCACAATGACTTGCAATCCAAATTGGCCTGAAATTCAAGCACTCTTATTACCAGGCCAAAAAGCTCAGGACAGACCAGATATAACTACACGAGTTTTTCGTGAAAAGCTACAAGCCTTGAAGAAAGACCTCTTCGAATATGGTGTCCTGGGGTGTACAGTTGCTTACATATATGTCATTGAATTTCAAAAACGGAGCCTTCCTCACGTACATATATTGATGATATTGCATCCAGAAAATAAACTGAAATCTCCAGAAAATTATGATACAATAGTTTCTGCTGAGATACCAGATCCCACTATTAATCCAATAGCTTACTCCGTAGTTACTTCTAATATGATGCATGGACCCTGCAACGAACTGAACCCAACTGCACCATGCATGATGGATGATGATACGGGTCAAAAACGTTGCTGCAAGGGATATCCACGTCAATTTCAAGATTCCACACTTCAAGGAGATAACTCATACCCTATATATCAACGCAGACAAAATGGC